TATGCCTCCCTGTCTCAACGCGCCACATTTCAGTCAGCTCGCGTTGTCCCGTCGCGGGTGACGAGAAATTTCATTGCAAACGGTGTCGGAGCTCAACAAAGAAACTCGCACGATATCGAGTACGGAAAAATTCGCCGGGGCAAGATCCGATCGATTCTTTTCCGATCGAGGGGGAATCAATTTGGAAGCGACCAGGGTGGCAGGCGGTAGACTTGAGGGAGTCTACTGCGCGCGGTAAATTCGGGCCACTCCGTGCCAAGTGCCTTCACCCCTTTTGTCCATTAATTATTTACTGCGAGAGATACCGCCGAATCGCCTGTCCGAACTCTAAAGTTGGAGCGGCCGGGTCTTTAGTGGCGGTATCTCCTCGCGTTTCCCTCTAAGTAGAGAGCTCTCCACGATAACGCCATCGGAGAAGTTTAGCCTGACGATATACGGCGAGCAAGATGTTTTACGAAACGAGAAGGTGCCTCCACCAGCCGGGCTACTCCCGAAAGTATCCGCCATAAAGTTGCAGGATCGATGCGCGGACCGAACCGAGATATTCCACGGTCAAATTTTCGTGGCTACGCCGGCTCGCGCCTCTTCCTTAACCCTCTCACTCTATCCTCACTCTTTCCTCAACTCCCTCTCTCTCTCTCTCTCTCTCTCTCTCTCTCTCTCTCTCTCTCTCTCCTTTAATCTACAAGCAAAGAGACAAATCGGCTTTAAATGCGTAATGTTCTCCGCTCCCACAGCGGGAATTTATCCCGCGGCGAACGTGATAAAAATACCGTCGTGTCATAAATTAACACGGCACGATTGTTACAATGTCTACCTGTCCGCACGACGAACAGAGACGTTGCCGCGGTGCGGCGCGCGCCCGCTTGACGTCGTGTAAAATCATAGAAAAATCTCGCTCAAGTTTTCAAGCGCTACATTACAATTATTTAACGCTCTCGCGGGCGCGGGAACGAACGAGCAACGGAACGCGATTCAATGGACAAAATCGTCGTTGGCCGGCGGTTTATAGATAACCGCGCGTAATTAATGGCCCATGATAAACTGTACGAATCGCGGCTGAAAAATCGCTGCGTGTATGATGTTTGCGTGTGTTTGTGTACAAGTATGATATGCATGTATATCGCAGCTCTTAGTTTCGCAAGAGTGATTGGCGCACTCCATCATCGTTAGCGACACCGCGAGTTTGTTGCAACTTACTGCGACTCGTTAGTTACGATTTCAACGTTGTTTTTATAATATCCGGTATATTTCCAACTCGAGCAAGGTGGCATCGCCGCAGCGGCGGCGGCGGCAACAGCGGTGTTTTTTGCACGGATAACGCGGTTTAACGGGGGCTCTGAGGCGAGTTCTTTATTAATAGTTTTTGCACAGCCGGCGATAACAAGACGCTGTTTCCAACGCGACGCGATTCCGATATCTTCATCAGCACGGCCGAGCGCGCGCGCGAGCGGCACACACACATACACGCGCGCCGGTGACAGATCTTTCGGGACGAGCGCACATAATCAAAAGGACGCAATCAGAGTGCGCAGGCTAAAAATAATTTGCGATAAAAGCGATTGTTCGAATCTGCATGCACAGGATGAATAATAAACGATGCACCGTCGCGCCGCGCCGGAGATGGCAGAGGTGCGCGCGGGACGTGCCATGTCGGACAATTATTGTATTTGAATCACGAACAATTCGACCGAAACTTGTTGATTTAACGAGCAAACATTCATTCATTTATTCATATATATATATATGTATATATTATACGTGTTCCCTTACATGTTCTCTTCCAAGCGACACATTTCGCGAATCGAACGCGTACCTCGGCGCGGCTCGCCGCGACAATGCTTCGCGGTAAAATCGCCAATGTGAAATGAATGGGTTATTAAAAAACGAGTTGTCGGCTGTGGCATGTCGAATATATATATATATATATATTCACACGCGAAATGCGCGGAAGAGAATACATAAGGACGAAAAAAGAAAGCGATCGACTGAGCGAAAAAATAAGAGAGAGAGAGAGAGAGAGAGAGAGAGAGAAAAGAGGAAGAGAGCTGCCGATAATCGCAGGAACTACGGTCGGCCGCTACGCGAGATTCGATTATATTCTTTCTCGCTTTTTCTCCAACTCTCTCTCTCTCTCTCTCTCTCTCTCTCTCCGCCGACGAGCCCCCGGGTTTTATCGCGCCCGTCGCATAAGGCCGCGGTGATTTTTCGACTTCGCCCACGCTCGTCCCGCCGAGCATCGGGAATATTGAAATCATAACGCGACGCCCATGAATATTATTCAGGTCTTAAGGCAATATAATCCGAAATCGATGGAGCGACGTGGAATAAATTTGACGGCGGCCCTTCGCGCCCGCGCCGTGCGAGAAGGGAGACTCCGGGCTGCCGTCGGCGTCGTGCGACTGTGAACTTGGAGACCTCGGCGACGAGATGACGCCGCCGCCGTCGTAGCGGCTCGCGCACCTGAGCACGTCGTCGTCGACGTAACCGCGAGAACTCTCGACCGCGCTCTCTTCCGGCCGACGCGTTTAACCATCGCTAGACCTGATCCTCTCGCGCGCTGAAGGAGAAAAGATGGTAATGATTTCAATGTCTTGGCCGAGCCGGAAAGTATTCTGGATTATCTCAGGGATGTCCAACGCGGGGAATACCTTATTCCGGATTATAAGAGCGGCTAGAGGTGAAGACGTGATCTCGAGATACAAAAGGCTCGGCAGAGCCGCAATTTCCCCGGGTTCCCCGAACTCGGGGGAGTATATCGAGCACGTTGGGCACGCGTTTGCGCCACCGACGAAGCGAACGAAGCGAGCGAGGGGAGGAAGCTGTGGTAAAAGAACCGTCGCTATCGGACCCTATTGCTTCCCGCCGTCGGTCGAAAAATTCTAAACACGAGCGGCAATCTACGAAACATTCGCGAATTGCGATTTTTCTGCTCAAAGACGAATTCGACATCGCGAGCGGACACCGGCGTCTCCTCCTCCTCCTCGCGCAATTTCCACAAATTGCTCGGTTTTTTCGGCGCCAGGTTCAAGATTTATGGAAAGTCGTGTTCTTATGAAGTCACAAAGCGCCCGTCCACGCCAAGTAATCCGTTATTACGAGCACGAGTTTGTACTCGTGCGAGAAACCGTGGCGTGACGTGCAGGGGGTCTCAACAAAAAGTATAATAACGCACACCGTTGAACGTTCCACGTATACACGCCCACAATAAACTACCACAATTTCTCTGCCGATATGCACCAAGTCGAAACACCAATATTTACAGAACGATCCTGCAATGTATGTTATCAGTGTGGTTATGTGTGCACGAACGCGCGCGCGCGCGCAGTGCACACGACGCGATGCATACCCGGGATAAATATTTTTATAACTACAAATAATTCCGCCATGTTCCGCGATTCGGATCTTCTGTTATATTCGGGAGACCGGGGCACTCGTCGATCTCCGAAATTGATCAAAAAAAGTAAATAAAAAAATAAATAAATAAAAACACGCATACCCCGTCGCGTCGGATGAATTATTCGCGATTACAGAAACATTTCTCTCCGAGCTCTTACGCTCCGCGAGAGAACTGAAATCCCCCCCCCCTCTCTCTCTCTCTCTCTCTCTCTGCTGCCCCGCCGTCGTGGATTAATCAGAATAAATTACGAGGCCATTAACTAATCGTGTAATTGGATTAAGCAGGAATTTCACAAATTCGAGTACCAATCGCTCATGGATGTCATCGTATCATGTACCGTTTATGTACCGCTTGAAACGTTAATGTAAACGTCATTTCATCATCCAGATGTCCGTAATTATTCCACTTTATAGATAGATGGGTAGATAGAAAGATAGATAATTGGATAGATAGATAGATAGATAGGCAGGCAGATGAGTAGATAGATAGATGGAAGATAGACAGGTAGGTAGATGAATAGATGACCGCGTGTATTCGTCATCGGCCGATATTCGAGCCATTGGATCGCGTTTGTTAAAATCTGAAACTTAACGGACGCTCGGCGAATCAGCTTGTGACGTATCTTGCGCTTCGACGTGCCCGTGCGATTGCGATACGCGATCCGCGATTTACGTCGTAGGCGTGGACGATAAAAAAACGAGAAACGAAAATGAAGCGTACACGCTGCGGTCGCGAGCGTCGGTAAATTAGCATTTTCTTAATTGTTGCCCGCTCAATTGCGTCTAGTGTCATTAACCACGCATTATTACGAGCGTAGTAAAGCGCGGCGGAAAGTAATTATTCCGACGGCGGCGGCACGTTGTCTACGCTCGCCGCTCTGAAAACGAAACTCGCGCGTTCGTTCGCGCGTGGGTGTTTCGTTTACAGCTTGCCCTCCGAGATTAACGCGGGATACCACGACGACGACGACGACGACGACGACGACGACGACGAGGAGGAGTCGGGGACAACAACCGGCAGCAGCACGTGCGTACCCTCGTGCGTTTTTATCGCGGCGAGGGACGCCGTGCATGACGACTGAAACGGATTGCGCTTCCTTTTTTCGCGTGAAACTTTTGAACGATGCGCATTCAGTCCCTGCGTAGCCGCAGGAGAGACATCGTGCGAAGATAATTGATATCGTCCTTATCCCATAAAGAATGTTTGTTCTCGTACACAATTAACAAAGGAGAAACATTCGTTTCAGCTTTTAATTAGACCTGCGTCGTTAGATCGTATCGAAAGAAACGTTACAACGTTACGATCGCCGATCCATCGCGTGCTCGAAATATTTATCCACGATGATTTGTAATAATCAATGATTAAACTCTCATGGTACAAAAAGTACAAGGCGTATCCGAGATTATTATACGAGATGACGAGAATGATTATTGAAACCACTATTGTATTAATAAAACTGGTTGGTTTATCTTATTTTCTCAACGGACCTCCCGATCGCGAATTGTGGACAATCAACGGTGCGCGACTCACCTCTCCTCTCCCCTCCCCCCCCCCTACGCAAGACAGATTTTCTCCACGGAAATTTCCTTTTGCTTTTCAGATCCGCTAATTACGCCAACGCCACCAAACAATGCGAACTTTCGGATATGGATCGGCTGACGGTCGCCGGCTCGAGCGCCTTCCAGACGGCGAAGGGGATGGATTATCTGGAGAACCATTGCGTGGAGGAGCCGGTGAAACTTTGCGAGTTCAAGAAGCTGACCGGCCGCATCCTGAAGACCGTGGACTCCGTTTACCAAGATGTCGGCACGTCCGACGAGTGCCGCGAATTGTGCTTGAACTCGCCGTTCCGTTGCCATTCGTACGATTATGGCGACACCGGCGACATGGTCTGCCGTCTGAGCCATCACTCTCGTGCTACTCTCTCCGACATTCAGGTGAGAAAAACCGCCTTCCCGTTCGTCCGGATATCGCGCGAACAACGTAATCGAATATCGCGACCGCGACCGCGGCTTTTGCGAGAGTCTGTGAGGCGAGAGAGGGAGAGACAGATGGAGATGGAAAGACTGAGCGAACGAGAAACTTGGGCAGAATCGGCGAGGCTCCGCGAGAAATATAACATTGTTGCATTCCGATTTGCTCGCTGAAATGCCGGGCCGTGATTCGATTCGTTGTGAGCGTTTAAAACAGAGAGTGGGCCGGACTCCGCGACCACCTTGTTTCGCCTCGTCCCGCGAGCGGTGCGGATTCTTGAAAGGGTCAGTGGGGATTTTCTATAAACGCGATTACGCTCGCAGACATGCAAACCAGCTTGAACAATCCGCCGAGGGCGCATTCGCGGAAAATCGAGTTTCCATCGCAGACACGCTCTCTCCTATCGAGCTTTCGTGAGTGCCGGCTCCACAGACTGGCTCGTCCGAATGCGAATTGCACTCTCTGCCTCTCTCTCTCTCTCTCTCTCTTTCTCCACCCTTCCCTCCGCCTCTCTCGATACCACGGGAGAAAATCAAAAGAAAGATTTAGCGAGCGTCGGGCTATTCGTCGAGGCTATTCGATTATCCGCGCTTTTTACGGCGCGCCTCCAGCACCGTCGTAGCGGCGCAGCCGCGAAAACTGATCCCCCAGCTCGTCGAACGTCGTCTCCTCCCCCGACCCTTGCCGGTACTCCATATGTACGAGAGAATAATTGCTGTAATGAAATATTTACGCGATATCAAGCGAACCGAAAATAACGCTTCGACGCGGTGATACGCGGCGAGGTTCGTCGACCATATAGGGGTTCCATGCGCGATCATTCGGTTGGAGATACGCAAATAATATATATAATGGTGGAACAATCGTGTTTTCGCGCGCGCGCGCAGAGTATTCGCGATTGGCCCTATGGGTGCAAGCCATATATGGGTGGTTGTGCAAGCATCACAGTGGCATCTCCGCAAATATACAAATTATTAACTGCGAAGATAGCACGAAATGTCAAGAGTATTTATCGGCGCAATATTCTCGATTAATTTATTTCACCGGAGAGTGTGCGTTCTCGCGCGGCACGGGACGATAAATAGCGTCATGTAAAGCGATTTCGAGCAATTCTTTGGGAGTGACAAATGCGCGAATCAGAGCGGATTATCACTCTGTCCGGTGGAAATGAGAACGCGAGTGTGCGTACGTGTAAACGGCATATCCCGCGATTGATAATTATTGGATATTGATGTATATCGTGCTGGACATAAACGGGAATGTGCAATGCTCTTGGTGCTGAGAATAAAGAGTGTGCTTAACCATTTGCGCAGATAAATTATTATTATTATTATTATTATTATTGTTATTACCATCGGCGAGAAAAGCGCGAAAGGGCGATTGAATAAAAGAGCGCGTTCCCGGCATTAGTCGACGTGAAAAATCGCGCCGAAAGAAAGCTGCACCGATATATTTCCCGCGCGTAAATTGCGACTACCTACGCGCTCCTCCCTCCTTCCCTCCTTCAGCCCTCCTCCTCTTTGTTCGCATGTTGAGTTCCGTAACATATTAATTGCCATGCGAACTGTATCACCGAAGATCAATACGCTGCGCCGCGGTAGGATTTCGGTTCCGCGATTTTCGTCATAAATTCTCCGCCGAGTTTTTGTTTCAAGGTTGCCTGATCAACAAAATACAACGTCCGCGTTCGCGAGGTGAACAAACCGGAGGAATAATAATCAGTGAAAAATCGCCAGGTCCAATTGCGAAATATCCGCGCCCGCGCCCGCGAGCCGTACACGCCCCCGGGATTTATCGCGCCCGTACCCCCGCGCGCCGTAATTCCAAATTAATACTACGACAAATCGCGTTAATGCGCGCGAGCAACGATGAGTAACCGCGGCCGAAAACGGACGATTTCGTTTCAGGAACCCTATCTCGACGTGCCGGAAGCGTCCACGTACGAACTGAGCTCCTGCTACAACGTGACCATCGACTGCCGCGCCGGCGATATGGTGACTCGGATTCAGACCAGCAAGCTCTTCTACGGCAAGGTGTACGCCAAGGGCTCGCCCAACTCGTGCGTGCAGGACGTGAAGGGCGCGCTCGAGTTCGAGCTACGTATGGCTTACGACGATCTTGAGTGCAACATCAGGCAACAGGGTCTCGGCCGTTACCTCAACGACGTGGTGATCCAGCACCACGACACCATCGTCACCAGTTCCGACCTGGGCCTGGCCGTGACTTGCCAGTACGACCTCACCAACAAGACCGTCTCCAACGAGGTCGATCTCGGTGTGCACGGCGATATCACGCCCGCGCTCTCCGAGGAGGTGATCGTCGACTCGCCGAACGTCGCCATGAAAATTACCGATCGCAGCGGCAACGACGCGATCCCCTCGGCCGAGGTTGGCGACCCGTTGGCGCTGAAATTCGAGATCCTCGACCCCAACAGCCCGTACGAGATCTTCGTCCGCGAGCTGGTCGCCATGGACGGCGTGGACTCCAGCGAGATCGTCCTCATCGACTCCGACGGCTGCCCAACCGACCACGTTATCATGGGACCGCTCTACAAGTCGGCCACCACCGGCAAGGTGAGTCTTGTTCCTTTGATTCTTATTCTTCCCAGCTGATTACTACGCGCGGATCTCTCCGTGAGAGATCGAGTCGGACTCGATTTCAACCGGAAACTCGCGCAGACAGACAGGCGCGAGCAGCGAGGCTAGATATGTACGAAGCGAGCCAAAGATCGTTTCCTCGTGAGAGAGAGAGAGAGAGAGAGAGAGAGAGAGAGCGAGCAAGCGCGGCAACACCTTCCATTTAGTTTTCCTACATCAACAAAGTGTGCTCCCAGCAATGGAAAACTATTTCCGAGGAAGCGTGTGTAATCGGCACTCGCACTGAACGTCCCTCTCGGCACTGTTCTAACAAGAACGTCTCGTGGTACTCGATCATCTCTACGGCAAGGGCCGCGTCGCGTCGTAAACGAAGTGCGAAGTACCAGCGAACGCGATCAAGGGTAAGCCGTCCATGAACGAAAACTATCATCTCGCAGTATCGCGGCCGGGATACGCGATACCGTATTCCTCGCGCGTGGCTACCTCGGCTGGGACGCTCGAAAAGCCGCGGGAATAAATACTGATTCCAATTTGGCGGCTGTGCACCGCACGAGTCACCAACGCCGATAAGGTCGTCGTCGGGGTATGACGTTGACGTCGGTGTAACGTCAACGTCGGCTTCGTCGTGTGGGAACACGCGCGCAAACGGGACCCGCGCCTGATGTGCCGCGGATGTAAAGTGCGGAAAAAGGCGCGAGTAGAAGCGGGGCCAACCAGTCGATCTGACTTCATGCTAATCAATCACTCGGACGGATTTTACGACGGGAAGCAATTTACCCAGCCTGTAATAGGTCGCGTCGATGATGCGCCGCCGTCTTGGCGATGACGTGCGCCGTGACACGCCTGGCACGCGGACGCATCGACCTGGCAGCGATCATTACTTTCGCACGTACGCCACATAAGGGAGCGCGGAGTTTACCTCCAATAAAACTTGGTTAGATCTCAACAGCGCTTTTCGTTCGGTCATCATCGGCCTTTCGACGGTGTTCGATTTCCAGACGAATTTTCGCTTCGCTCACTCTCGCGAAATTCGCGCGAACGAGTGATTGAATATTTGCCGGCCAGCCCGAGTCGAAATCTGGAATTCTACGTGTATTCATGCACATTCCGCCGAATCTGAAAAGTCAGTAAAGAATCTCGAGGTATAACAATATACAGTAACAGGCTATTGTTCTATTTTAACGCTGTGGATGATTACTGCTTGCCATTAGTGAGGATTAAATGCAGGTTGAGAATATTGATATTGAATGTCAAATTATTCCAACGATAAAAGTCATTTTTTTTAAATAATTCAACATGGAAAAAATGGCATTAGGTGATCAATTGCAGCATCAAGGTGGGACAACAAATAGCCCGTACAACATATATATCGAGATTTTTCACTGATGCTTCAAGCTCGACGGAATTTTCAGGGTAAATCCAGGATCCAAAATTTCAAGATCGCGTGCAGTAAATAATGATGCTTCTGATAAAGCGAAATAATTTGTTCGTATGATCAGAGAAGTGGACGCCGTATGAATAAATGTCCGTCAGATACGTAAGTTCGATCAAGCATCAAGTTTGCTTGATAAAGTACAGACATCGCTCTTCAGCGGTGTACAAGTTTTAAAGAGAGATCTATCTGGTACGTGTCAATATATATTCGTGGACGCGTGCGTCTGATGGAAAACTGGCGTTCCTTCAAATATATGAAGATGGATCATTAAATAATGGAACATCGTGCTCTGAAAAGAAGCCCGAGTCGCTGGAGCAGCGATTATTACTTCCGCGTTTTCCGCATAAGGGTATACGCGGGAATTGACTTGGCGATCCCATTAGAACGCGAAAAAATACTTTAATCCTACCCCCTCCCACCCTCGATATTCACTCTCTCTCTCTCTCTCTCTCTCTCTCTCTCTCGCACTCTGCACTTGGCAACGCGTAAAGTTATCGTGGGTGAGCCGGAGCGAAAACGCATTAGAGCGGAAGCACAATAATTCTTGCGCGGTTAATAGGTAAGCGATCGCCGCGTATGACCTCGATGGACCAATTACGTGCACCTCCCCGTGCGTCTCACTCGCCCGATATTAGCTCGGGACGCGCGTTAGCCGCGTTCGAGAAATGGGTAACGAGACTCCGGCAGCGGCGGCGCCGAGTCACGGCATTAATAAGCCGGCGAAAATGTTGTCCGATAATTCGGTACGTTCTTACGTTAGCCCGCGTCGGGTAATCGCCGGCCGGCTGGTCCGCGTGCGCTTTACCAATTACCTTTTCTTTTGCATCGGCAACACACACACACACACACACACCGGGCGCGCAACGGTGGAAGTATCGCGGAAGCGCGGACGGCGGATTTTCTTCAGCTCGCACGGACAGCGGCGCGCAACATTCGACCAGTTGCGGCGCGCCTCGCCTCGCCTCGTCTCGCCTCGCCTCGATCGTGGACCGCGTGGCTGATGCTTCGCGTGTCGACGAGTAAAACAAACGGATCGTTACGATATAGTGGCAGGTAGGAACGAGTGTGGTGGAGCGAAGGTGGAGCAATAAGAGGCGCACGGCCTCGTTAACTCGTCGTTCCACATCATTTGCTCGCGCGAGCACGGCCGCGCCACGGCGCAATATCGCTTTATTAGAAAGTAATAACAGTCGTGGTAGAAACAAAGAGTAAATTTATATCGGCCAATGTACGTAAGACGCCGAGGCATCGAGATATATCACCCGGCTGTTCCCTGCATCAGCGTCGTGGCGCCCTTTTCCGGTTTAGAACGTGCACGCCGTGCTGCTCGATCTCGTTTCCTGACCGCAGCTGATCACGAGGACTAACCCCATTTCCTGCCGAATGCCAGATACGAAGATAGAGATCTCGCGTCAGCGTCCGGACGCTGCTGCGCCGATTCTCCCGGTAAATTTCGTCGAACGGACGAGAACGAGGGTGAGAGAGAGAGAGAGAGAGAGAGAGAGAGAGAGAGAGAGAGAGAGAGAGAGAGAGAGAGAGAGAGAGAGAAGAAGAAGAAGAAGCGAAAAACGCGAGGGAGGAAAGAAAACCTAGCAAGTTCGACTTTTACTTCTCTCGCACTCTCTCCTCGCCCCTCTCTCTTCTCTCTCTCTCTCTCTCGGTTGCACGAACGGGAAAGTCCACAACGTATGTAAATTTTAATCTGCCGAGGGACAACGTAACTTGTAGAAATTGCGTCATCGTAATCATTCGCGCCGTACATCATGCGCATCTACGCGCCTCTATTTACCTGTCGACCAGCGTGAGTGATAAAACGCCGGATTGCAGTAACTTTGATATATGCCACGCTATCAGCTATCAATAATCTCCGTCGTTTGCGACAGTATACCGTCATTACGATATGGTAATAAACGTCCGCGGCATTGATTCTCGGTAAACGAGGGGCACCGCTTGACCCGAGATGCGCCGATAGGTAGGAAGTTTACTCGTCGATTCTTTGTCTCTCTTAATAGTGGAAAGCTTGAAGGCCTTTCTTCCCTCGTAGACGCCGTGCGCGAGCAAATAAACGACTAATAATTAATTAATTATTACCAGGAAGTCTCTAGGTGGTACTTAACTTCCCCCCGAGTCACTAAAAAATCACCCACGGTGTACCAATTATCATTACGATAATTAATTATCTAATAATCAATATCGCGACGAACGGTCGATGCGCGGAGCCGATAAACGTACCCGGAAAGACGCCCGACGCGAAAATCAGCAAGTGCGCGCGTGTCGAATGATATCGAGTTTCGTGCAGATTTAGCGTTTCTGCCTCTTGGGACTTGGAAGCGGATTTATCCTCTCGTACGTGCATGTGTGCGCGTGTGTGCATGCGCGAGTTTCATCATTCGAGAAACCGTTCGAGACGAGACTGGCTTGACGCACGGAAGATGCACGGCGATTTTTTCATTTCTACTCTATTAACGTGAAACATCTCGCGCGTACACGGTATATATAGTATACACACACTCCGACATATATCCTTCGCATACGCTCAGGTGTTTGTTAGTTCGCGCCATTAATACCGTTTCCGATAATAGGAAGCGGTAGTCCGTCGAACGCGCGCGGGAGGGGGGGCGACCGTGAAATAAACGAGCGGCGCGGGAAAGCCGAGTGCGGCGGCGCCCCGTTGATTTTATTAATCCCGAATCGAAACGAAAAGAGAACGAAGCGCGCGCGCGCGCGCGCGCGCGATCGACGGTCGGCGGAGGAAAGAGCGAGCGAGCGTTCGCTCGCGCGATGCGCGCGGCAGCGCGTCTCGTCTAACCAGAAATTTGCCAAAAGTTCGGCTTTCCGGTATGTCCGTCACGTAACCGGGCCGCGGATACGAGGCTCTCTTCCATTTCGCAACCGGTTTGAATGAAATTGGAAACATTTCTCAACCGTCACACGCCGCTCGTTCGCTCGTGTGCGCGCACGAGTCGGTGCGTGTGTATGTCACCCACACACACGTACGCCCTCCGTACGTACGTACGCACGTAGAGAATGTAGGTAAGGACGCGAACTGTCGGCGGACGCGCGGAGCCCGCGGCCGACTTATAAAGCAGACAAGGGGATCAGGTTGAGCCGCGCCGTAAAAGCGCGGGCGCGAGCCTTACGATCTGACTGATCTGCCGCGGTACATTTATGACGGCCCTCTTTCCCGTCCTTTCCCATCACCCGACGTCGTTCCCGCTGAAGGAGACTTATCGTCGGCGCGTACCAGATGCCGCGGATACAACCTGAGCGCGTTTCTTTTCCCGGTGCGTCTAGCTACGTCGACTTTGCTCTCGCCCTCTTTCTCTCTCTCTCTCTCTCTCTCTCTCTCTCTCTCTCTCTCTCTCGATCTCGCGTCTTCGAGCCTATCTACCTCCGCTCGGTCTCGCTTCTCCCTTCGGTCAGAGCGGACTCTTTACGCTCTTCCTCTTTGCTGTCCGCCGCCGCTCGCTTTTCCCTCGCGGAGAACGGACCTTCCGCTACTCTTTCTGCGCGGGATGACGTCGGGTTAATAAAGTTCCGCTCGCTCCGCTGGACGCGCCAGGCAAAGAAACGGTTAAATGAAGCTGTACGTGGAACGAAGCATATTTTAATGTCTTACTTCCCGCCGATAATATACGTGCTCGGTGTGTAAATACGATGAACTTGGTAATGCGCCGCAGAAACCAGTTCTCGGCGCGCGCGAGCATGAACGTGGCGCTAACCTTCCGCTGGGAGTTCTCTGGGTCTTTATCTCGGTTTCGCGAATGAGAGGAATAGGTCGGGGCGAGAGAGAGAGAGAGAGAGAGAGAGAGAGAAAGCGCGATGGGAGAGAATTAACCCCCGCGACCTTGTTCTCTCTCTCTCTCTCTCTCTCTCTCTCTCTCTCTCTCTCTCTCTCTCTCTCTCTCTCTGACCGAGTGATTCGGGTGAAGAGAAATCAATGACGCGCGTTTGTGCGTCATACGGCCACCACGATGAATACATCAGTACGTCCGACGCGGTCGCCCCTCGCAACGATCAACCAGGCGATCATCGCGGACTTGTTCCACGGTCGACAAGCCTAACGAGCGAACACGAGCCGATTACCTTTCGTTTCGTAGAAGGGAACCGAGAGAAAGAGGGGGAGGGAGCAGGGGGACAGATGCAAAGGAAGAGACACTTTGATCACCTATATCAATTCCGACCGCCACTGCACGACGAGGCAGCGACGATGATGACGACGACGGTGGAAAAACCAGCGCGCGCAATATAACCACGATAAGTGGTAAACGAAAAGGGGAAGGGGAAAAAAAAGGGTTTTAACGGATAGGTCCGCTTGTCGCGAGAAAATAGGAATTACAGCGGCGCGCTTGGTTGCACCATTTGCCAGGATGGATATATGCGCGCTCTAATGGCGCGCGTAAAAGCAGGTACTTGGGCCGTTTTTCATGTCATAATCCCGTGTAATTGCCGTTACACGGCTTTACCTAATAAAGAAGAAAGAGAAAAAAAAATATTCGACGCAGCTGCCGCGAGATGGGAAAAACCAGTTTGAGGCGATCATCTCTTACGCATATTACGTGCGACGGCCGACGCCCGCCGCGTTACGCGATCCTTGACATCCGCATTCTGTAATATCTCTCTCACTCTCTCTCTCGTTATCTTCTCCCTGTTGCGTGAGAGCCCTCGTCCGCTTTCTTTTCTTGCGGTACTCGCCACTACGAGAAAGGGAGGGAGATAGATAGATAGATAGATAGAGAGATAGAGATAGAGAGATAGATAGAGAGAGAGAGAGAGAGAGAGAGAGAGAGAGAGAGAGAGAGAGAGAGAAAGAGTAAAATCACGCCATCGTCTGCTTCGTCGCTCCCGTATTTGGGATACTGTTGAAGATTTATGTGGGAGCGACATATGGATAAGATTACTATTATTTCACATCCACACGTTGAATTTTACGTACGTACGTAAGAACGGACAAACGAATGACTGCCCATGTCGGAATCTGAGAGTTAATGCGGCGCAGTTTAGTTGAGTCGACGCTTGACCGACGTTTCGCGTATGAATTACGAGTGCGCGAAATGAAAAGGAAAGAAAAGAGCAGAGAAAAAGAAAGGAAAAAGAAAAGGAAAAGCACGAGCGGCGTCACCGGCGGCTGACCCGCGCTGATTGTATTTGTTATCGTTGGGTAGTTCCCAGATGCTTGAAAACAGAAGAAAAAGGAAAAGACCAGAAATGAATTTGACGTCTCGGAATGCGACGCGAACGGCTCACGCTTAACAGCGGCGCTTGATGGCACTTTAATTCGTTTCTTGCACGCGACGAAAAAACCGCGGAAATCGTATACACACGGCTAGCAGGATAATAAAGAGGAACAGTACGAAAGAGAAGCAAGCGGTGAAGAATGCGCACCGCAAATGTCATAATATCGGTGCCGCCGTTCGCTAACGGTAAGCGAACTCGGCAAAAGCCCCCGAACGGCGAAATCGTCGTGTACCGAAGAGCTATTCGGCACAGGTGTTTATGTATTATTCGAACGACAGGTAACGGCGTGAAACAATTGGTTACGTGACTTGCAATTCGTCGAAAGGGACCGACGAAGCGCGAGGAAGTTCGTTTTATTACATTCCACGTGTATCGAGCTCTCTCTCTCTCTCTCTCTCTCTCTCTCTCTCTCTCTCTCTCTCTCTCTCTCTCCGGCTGCTACTAAAATAAATTTACGCGCTGCGGCCGAAATGAGAAGCTTTGATGCCATTTTTATTGCGACCGTTCGTTTGAGGCACCCGCTAGCGGAAAGTTGAGGAGCTGCGAACCTCTCTCGTATACACACACACACACATACACACATTTTAGCAAGTAAACATCGCGACGACTCTTAACTAATTAAACAGACCGCGTGAATTCCTCGACAAACGAATTTGATTGGACTAATCCAATTAGTCCGAAGCGTTAATTTAAGTGGCCGACGTTGCCAAGCTTATAACCCAACGACGCAGCATTAAATCGGTTTCTCGTGATCATTGACCCGTACACTTGCTCGTCAGTGATTCTCCTTCTCTCTCTCTCTCTCTCTCTCCCCTTTCTGCACAAATTTTCTCAAACCTCGTAACGCAGCGAACTCTCTCCCAAGCCACTCATCGTCCCTTTTCGCTTCGGTTACAGATACTGCTGTCGCACTTCGACGCTTTCAAGTTCCCGAGTTCGGAAGTGGTGCAGTTCCGCGCCCTGGTCACCCCGTGCATGCCGACCTGCGAGCCTGTTCAATGCGATCAAGAGGAAATGACCGGCGAGTTGCGCTCGGTCATCTCTTACGGCAGACGTCGCCGCCGCCGTCGCTCCACTGCCGCCGCTGCAGCCGCCCAGAGCCGCGAGGATCTCCTCCTGGTGCAGTCGATCCAGATCACGGACAAGTTCGGCTTCGAGCGTGACGGTAAGTTACCGAACGCCACCTCCGCGACGAGGGACACCGTCTTCGTCGAGAGCGAGGACATATCGTCGTCGATGGGCATGTGCATCAACCTGGGCGAGGCGATCGTGGCCGGTACCGTCTTCCTCGTCGCTCAGATCGCCATCATAGCGGCCTGGACCTTCACCTGGCAGCGGCGCCGACAGATGCTCAAGCACCAGGAGGCGCTCTCGGTGTCCGTGTCCGTGCCCGGAATGCATTCCGTGCCGGGACGCACCGACAGTCTCTGTAAGTTGTACGACGCCGGATATTCTGCGCGTCGTTTCTGAGCGACTTCTCACCATCATCCGTCCGCCCGCTCTCGCCCATCCGCGACACATCGTCAATCTCGTCTTCCTGCGTAATTCGCTATTACGAATCCTCGGCTGACTTCACACGGACGTGAGCTCTCAACACGCGACGACCCTTCTTTCTCTCCCGCCCCCTCCCCCCTCTCCCCTCGGGCGAGAGAGGGTCGCGTGTGTCACGATTTTTCGAAGCGATCACAGCAGACAAAACGCTTCTTCTTCTTCTTCTTCTTCTTCTTCTTCTTCTTCTTCTTTTTCTTTTCTTCTCTTCATGGTTTCTCGAATCTCCCTCCGGAATTCGGGACGGACGCTGCTACTTCGTATATATCAAACTTGTATGTGTGTTGTAGCGCGTTGCGATGCGCTAGCATGCGATATACGTAGCGCTTTTAGCGAAGGGAACCCTTTGCCACCCCCACGCTTACCCGCTGTAACCCGGGGGTGGAAGCTTTCCACAGGCATTCTGCGAATTCCAGTTAGATTCGGCTAGATGGGCAGATCGCGCGCGCGCGCGCGCTTGGCTCGCCTCAGCTCGCTTCATCCCGACGAGAGAGAACGGCACAGCTCAGACAGAGAAAGCAATCGTCTCGATCGGCGGACGGGGCCGGGGGCGGAGGGGGCAAACGACCGCTCTTCTGCCCATCTAGACGAAGGTTCTTGTGTATCCGCATCACTTGTATTAGGTGCTATCACGTACGTATCCTCTTTCTCTTCTCAAACTTCATTTCCTCGCAGCTGGCACCGTTAAGGGGAAACCGATCGATTTCGCGATATCGCTTCAAGCCACGACGTTTGCTTTCCAACGCGTGCGCGCGGGCGCTCGCGCATCTTGCTCCTGCCGTCGCGAAGGGAGTCCGCGCGGCGCGCAATTACATATTCGCGTATGCACACGTGCTAATAATGCCGGTGGATCACTGAACAGAATAATTAGGCACAATTGCGCTTGATTACCCGCTACATCTGTCGCTTATTGAGGCACAAATACCGGTGTGTTTCCCGATCGGCATTTCTACCCCAAGGTCGGCGCAACGAATCGTACCGAATGTATCATCAATCTCGTTTCTCTCTCTCTCTCTCTCTCTCTCTCTCTCTCTGTCTCTCGGCCGGCCGGTTATTTCGTGGAAGGAGCAAGGCTGCAATTACGATCCGTACAGGCAACCTTTAATTAACGTGACGTTCAGTGTGTCCAAGCAGCCTTCTTCGTGCGTGTGCGTACTCCCGTTCGACGAAAGTCGACGAAGCGGTCTTAAAGGGACGTTTCTCCAAGGTGGATTGAAAGGGCACGATTAAAGAGAGAGAGAGAGAGAGAGAGAGAGAGAAGGGACGAAACAAAGAGAAAGAAAGAAAACAGGAAAGATAAGAGAAGAAAGGTGGCCCTCAAACTCGCGAGTACGCGTTCTCTCTCTCTCTCTCTCTCTCTCTCTCTCTCTCTCTCTCTCTCTCTCCCTCTCTCTCTTTCTCTCGCAACATCACGTCGATACTTAATCCGTATCTGATCGGGGAGACGCATACCGGGAATCACACGGCTTCGCCGTGGATAAATCGATTTCTTACTTTGTTTCGGTATAAATGGCGCACCTCTCCCGGCGATAAGTAGTCGATAATACAACGGCGCAAAAATCATGGCCTCTCGTCCGCGAAAGAGACTAATCGATTCCACGTGAGTTCGGTCGGTTTCTTGCGGAGCACGCGCGAGTGTAAACCTTGTGCCGGCCGTCCTATTCTCTCCCCGTTTCGTCTCCGCCGTCGCCTCCGTGTCGAGCGCTTTTACTCGTCCCTTCTTCTTGAGGCGACGCTTGCGAGGTGATATGGGACACGTCTCGGCGCGGTGTGGCTCTACCAGGTGATGGAGGTTGACGTGCATTCGCCACGTCGGGATGAGCTACCAGGCATGGACTCTAATTAGCAATGGGAATTGGGCATGATTATGCAGATGCTCGTAGTGGGGTATGAACGGTCGCTGGCGCGGCGAAGGGATAGATGTAGATAGGTAGCACGAGGCATAGAGCAGAGCTGAGCTGAGCGGGGATGAAAGAGGGAGAAGAGATTGAGACGGAACGAGAAACGGTGGTAGAGGATCAGGACGTGTGCTGGTGAGCCCGATGAAGAGGGGATGGGCGGAAGAGAGAGGTACGCGCGCGCAAAAGGGGTTGGCGGAAGGTTAATTGCCTCTTGTGGCGTCTCGGGGTTAAGCTAAGCTTCTGAAGGGGGGTAGCGCTTGATGGGGTTGAGTCTAGCTTCGGGAGCGAAGGGGTTGCGCGAGGAGAGGAGCGGAGCGGCAGGTGGGAGAGGGAGGGAAGTGGGGGTTGGGGTGGCGTAGGACCGCATCAAGGATAGCCATCTCTCCACACCGGAGCCACGTAACCTCGGCCCCCTTCCGACTTAACCTTAGCCGTGTCCCTTATCCTCAGCTATCCCGTGGTGGCCAGATTAATTTACATCGCGACACGTGAGCTTATCAATCTGGATTGGCGTGCTCGACGCAAAAGAGACCATCGGCCGCGCAACGTAACGGTCGATACGATTAAAGACGAGAACTTTGCGCTACTTCGCTACTTCGTCCGTTACGTAAGCGATAAAATACTGCGCTCCATCGGTCCGCGATGGCCCGTCGCCGGGTATCTCGGGGAAATTCTAAAGAACGAAGTCGATAATGTCAAACACAGAAAATTCCAGTTCGTAACAACTGTCGCGGCACAACATTTCTTCGTGTAAACCGCAAATAAAACTTTACGGATTTATCGGCATGATGTATATAATGGGAGAAAGAAAGAAACAAATCGGCATCGGTTTGCAAACGACAGAAAATATTCCGCAATTGACGTGATTAACGCGCGACAGTGATAACTGTTCTTAGATAATCAGTCCTCGTTCAAAAGCGAATATAGCGCGCGGAATCTTTACGTTTCATCGAACATTGTCTGACGTCGTCTGACGTAACCGCACGATCGGGCTTGGCCGAATTTCGTCGCGTACACATTCATATTGTGCTCGCTTCGCGGAGTACGCGAAGCGGAAGAAAGCGATAGATAAAGACTAAACATCGGCGAACACCGCGCATGTAATACGCTGTGGCACTGAGGAATACAGATCGGTTAGCTCTATGCCAGCGGTAGTGCTTCATCGATTTCCCAAGGCACACAGAAGCCGATGCACAGAGAGATCGGATTAATTGAGAAACTTGAGGATTAAAATACATTCGTTAAGACAAACAGGAGGAATATGAGAGAGAGAGAGGAGAGAGAGGGGGGAGCAGAGGGAGAGAGACAAAATTAGAATCTCCAATCGTTCCGAAGTGTTTGCATTGCAGTTAACCGAACTTTGGATTGTTCTGCTGTTTGACCTCTATTCTCTCGTGTGGCGAACAGACCGAGAGAGAGAGAGAGAGAGAGAGAGAGAGAGAGAGAGAGAGAGAGAGAGAGAGAGAGAGATTTCATTTCCGCTGGTACATACATTTGTTTTTTAATGCACGCGGCAAGTTTTGGTCTTACGCGTCGTGGTAAAATGTCAGACTTGCATGTTTGGAATTTTCTCATTTGATATGGTTACGAAGTCGCTTAGCGATCTATCGGTCGGCCGAATGTTTCATAATTCCACGCTAATGTTTCGCGGTCGTTAATGTTAACAATAGCCACAATCGAGTCGGAAAAGGGTGGTGAGCGTGCATGTTGCACCTGTCGAAATTCCGACGAACGCTTTAATTATGGGATTTAATTGTCGCCGGACGATTGTTAGAGGCTTTTCCCGCGCGAGACCGTTGGAGCGCATCGAAAAGCAAATGGAATTTCAGCCCTTAAATCAAGCGCCATTGATTCCGCCGAATCCGTACAATTCCCGCGTACGCGTGTGCAAAAATTGAAATGCGGAA